GCAGCTTGGAATGCTTAATGTCTCTATTCGGAAGCAGGGTGGCTTGTGCAGAGGTCCTTGTCATGGAATGTCTTCACGTCCTGTGGAGACAGAGCGGGATCAGACATTGACATGCCTTCCAGGCAAAACGGGTTCCCACCTCTCCCATGATCTACACTCCCCGGTCGCGACGTGGAAAGCACCACCTGTTTGGTATTCGGATTTCATGGTCATCCGGCGGGCCAAATTCCTCCGTGTTAACTCATTTCCCACTTCCGATGATTGTTTCGATATTGGAAGTGGAACATCATTGAAGGCAGCAAGGACGCGAACCGAACGGGGCTCCTGGCCTTACTACGAACGGAACAAAGGTTCGCTACGAACGGGGCTCCTGGCATCGCTACGAACGGAGCAAGGACGCTGGGGTCTCCACTTCCATAGCTTCCATAGCGGACACGAACGCCTCCCGCCTCAGGGCACCTCCGAGGACGCGGACTTGCTGCGCTTGCGAAAGGCGGTGCAACGGTCTCACCTGGTGAAGTGGAGCTGATAGGGCGGCTAGGGGATGGTGTAGATGGTGCAGCCTGAAGCAAGATTGCCTCGCATTGGTCGTATTTAGGATACTTAATATATAGATATGGTCTTAGTGGATTGGAGCTTCTAGGGTGATTCTATAGTTCTGAATTGCTGTAGATCTCAAGAAGTTTTGCATTCGCCCGCTCGCAGGTGGGCGAGAGACTTTTCTCTGCGGTCTTCGTGCTGCACGGAGGGTTTCTGCCCGATGGCACTGAGGACTATGGAGTTCACTGGGATCATTTAATGACAGGTCTCAATTCTCAAATGCCATTCCAAGAGTGGGCGGTTCGGTCATCCTCAACAGAAATCCACCTACGAGCTTTGTAGCCCCATCAACTTAATTTAAAGAATCCTATTGGAGCTGGAATTACCGCGGCTGCTGACGCCAGACTTGTCCGCCGATTTATAACTATGCACATTCGATTACTCCGGCATCCACCCCGAATTCTCCGAACATCTGTGGTCTGGGACGCATGTATAAGTAACAAGAAGCTATTAGGAACAAGTGCATCGCTTCTAGTAACAAGTGCCTTACTAGTAGTAACAAGAAGCTTATTAGAAACAATTAAGCTCTAGAATTGCCACAGTTATCCATGTAGCAGCGAGGGTCAATTACACCTAGCGGCCTAGCGAGCCATTCGCAGCTTCGAGGTGTAAATGCTTATGCGTAGCTTAATTTCAGACAAGCAGACAAGCATAATATGACTGGCAGGATCAACCAGGTTTCAACCTTACACGCACTGGCGCACTATGCTCCACTCTGAAGCAGCGCGCATTGGTGGACATCGCCGTAACAGTTCAAGTCCAGCACAGCTTTCCATGGTAACCATTGAGGGGTAAGGTTAGAGCAGAAAGCATCTGAACATCAGAACAGCCACGAGTACAAACACCTCTGAGGCCCGCTAAAGGTTTTACGTTCAAAAACAAAACCACGATAGCTTTTCATTCCCCAGTCCATCATCAAGGTGCATCCCTCGGTCCAAATATTTGAGCTTTTCTGGACACTGGCAATTTTATAGGTATGCAATATTGTCACGCTGCGTTCGGATAGTCCTCCGGTCCTCCATTTGGGTCAACGGCTATGACCAAATCCTGAATCTAGAGAAGTGACCAAGAAAGAATGATGTTGCTTGATACCCCCAGATCCTTCGAAAAAGACTTTGTTCAGGTCCTCACAGCAGAGGTGACCTTGAGATGCAATCGACTTCGTCATTAGCCGAAAGGTGGAAATGACTGCGTCATCGCCCAATGCTCGTGGCCGTCGCGCCGTCGCCGCGAAGCAATGAGGCTTTTGAGCAGCGCAACGAAGCATGTCATGAATCGATGTAGTCACGTGCTATAATTGTTGAGTTGGCCCGTTGCAGCAGCAGGGCGGGGCAGCATGCAGGCCTATAACTTATAACAAGAGGGCAGACACCCATTGGATGAAGAAGCAACCCCAAAGGCTACCGCAGGTTTTTGATTTCAACTTCAAAAAAATAGACCAGCCACTTCGTTAGACGCAGCTCACCGCAGATTCTGTGAGGACACTGAAGCAGCAGTAAGAAAACTAAGGTTTCCCGCCCACACACTTCCCTCTCCACCGCACCTAAAATACCCCTCACCAACCTTGTGGTTTGGATCGGCCGGCCCGACGTGTTTCTGTGTGTTTGAAGTTGAATGCATAGCAACCTGCTCAATGGGTCCAATGAATTCGAAAACGGGCCGCTCGGGCAGCCAGTTGGGCAGTTGTTATCAGTCACTTTCGGGTGAAAAAAAACATGAACAGAAACATACAGAAACACATCACTCCCCAGCTCCCCACCTTGTTAGTGTGATGGCCCAGCGAGAGCTCGCCTGGCATTGGCCCGGGAGCTCGGTCAGAAACTCTTCGACGTCACTGCGTCAAACACATCACATGCTCAACGTGTTCCAACGGCCCTCATGTCGAGTCACCGGATGAGGACCCTGGTGTGACCATGTTGATGTCCCTGAGAGTCCCATTTTACATCATTTTACCCCGAACTGGTACTTGGTACTGGTAGTGGTGTTTTATGACTACCGGGTGGGGTAGTTCATGAGATTTCATGAGTCAGAGTCAAAACGGAAGTTTTGGGAGTCGGGCTATTTGATGATTGGTTTCAAGACGCCCGTTGGGGCCCTGTGTTGCTACGAAAACAGCCTATTTCGGCCTCAGGCCACGCAAAAATGGCCAGCCTGTATCCACAAGCCATAGGCTTACGGAACGTCTGCAAATGAAGTGAAGAAATTCATTGGTTCTAGTTCTTCGTTTGACATCTTTGCTAAGCAGATTGGGACTTCGCAGGCCACCATTTTCCTTGAAGCGCCACTTGTTTGAGGCCATGAGATTGATTTGGCGCTTTGGTGGCACGGTGTCGGCATCGGCAGAGGGTTTCACCATCATGGGGCGGGAAAAAGAGGCCAAGAGGCCATGTTCAGTGAAAGAGCACCGGCCAAGAGGAGCCAGGTTCATCCCTTATGGATCCTTATGGGCCTAAATGGATCCTAAGGGTCGGTTCCTTTTGGGAAGAAAAACCTTGGATTTGCATGGATATCCCCATTATTAGCCATCTACAGTCTATGTCACCATTTGTCTATGTTCTGCTATGTCTAAAATTCATGCTATTCATGGCTTATCACATGCATACAAATGCATGTTGTCTTGCCGGGCTCCATGTGAATCTGAGGTTTCCATATTGAACTTTGCTTGTTTGAGCTTGAACATTCAAGATGCTCGAGTCCTTTGATCAGTCTCCTGATGTTGTGTTGTGTTTGGGTGCTCGGATTGGTTACTTCAGCAGTGACATGCTTGTTGGTTAGAAGTGAGTGGTCTTTTAATGCAAAAACAATATGTCTCCTGTTTGATTTGGTTATATACATCATTAGAAATCTGTGGAACGGCGCGTCGAGATCGTTTTTGAAAAGGACCTTCGATGTTAAAGCTGAATCGCTTGGAGTTCCGAGCGGGGTTTGCGTCCGTGTAAACCTCAACGAATCTCATCCGTGGTTTTGCCTGGTTGTTGAACTCATGTGTCAGCCTTATTGGGGTCAACGTTGCGAGGTTATGACATGGTACTGGTATGACATGGTATGACTATAATTCATCATAATTCAATGATTCACATATATTCACAGGATTCCATAGGTGCCATGACTGGGTTCAGCATGGGTCCCGCATCCGACATCCAGCAACCCGTTCATGCTCGGTTCATGCTGGGTTCGAGGCTTTGTTGGTCCAGCTTGCTCTATGTCATCGCCAGTTCGGAGGAGGTGCAGGGAAACACATTGAAAAACACCAGGTCTCTAGGCGTCCTGAACTTAGAGAAATTGATGGTGGAATTGATTTATTAGTACAGGTCAATGAGATAGGGGGAAGACCAAGAAGATCACCATTTCAGGGGTTAATTTGCCTGAGGGTGACAGATCTCTTCGGTTAACTTCGATATCACGAACAGTGGATAATAGGAAGATGAGGACTTTCAGCAGTGTGGGAGAATCTGTCATGTGTTCCCTGGGTTTCCTGCAACAGAGCTTCTTAGGGGGGATCGTCAGTTAGCCTACGCTCATTGGGCCTCAGTGAGCCTAAGTCTGGTCACAGTAGAACGAACGAAAAGATATCATTCTTGGCCTCCCTCACGTGTAACCCCCTCTCGTCCTGGTTGGTCCTGGTGCATGGTCACGGACCTCCCATCACAGATCAGGTGTTTTCGGTGGATGTGGCGTTCTCCGGGTGTTTTCGGTGATGCTGCAGTGCTGAGTGTTTCTTTAAACGTCGACTTCAAGGCGTTGGTTTGCCTTAAGAGCTACACGAAACCACAAATCAGTGGGAGATTGAGGTACGCCTTTCCTGTGATTAGATGATCGCCAGCAACCACAAATCAGTTTCAGCAACTCGAGCAGCTTCAGCGTTTGCTTGGCCCCAGCTGCTTCGGACAGAGCCATATCATTTCTTCTCCGCCAAGAAGGAGACCCTTTGGTTCGAAGGATAAAACAGACAGTTTTGAAGCTCAAGACACCTAGCAAGCCGACTTGTCTTGTTTAAAGCAGATCGAGAAACTGTCCTGCCAACCTAGCTTTGGTGGGCAAGCATTGTGCGTCAGCAATGCAACTCATCAGTTGCATACAAAATACCACATGAAAGGATCAGAGAACTTCAATGTTCAACATGGTGACTGCCGACTGCTGAAGACTCTGCCCTGTCCAACAAAGAATTTGCAGAAAAATGGTGAGTCTCGCACTGTGTGAAGAACCCCCCACTGGCGAACCTGTGGTCCAGGGAAAACGACACTAATGTGATTTCAGAGGCACCAGAGGGCTACACTGCTGGGATCCTAGTAGCTTTGGCCTCCACCCTGGTAGCGATGGCCTCCACCTCTAGTAGTCTTAGAATCCTTCTGGTTTTCAGGCATTGGAGGGTTGTCAGAATCTCAGAATTTCAACGATCACAGCTCACAGCACTCGCAATCTCGAAGCTCGCCATGCCGATTCCGCGTTTCCGCGTGTGGCGTGCGTGGCGCGGAATCGGTGTGTGTGGCGCGGTGTTGTTAGCGTTGTGCGTAGAGAGGCCGGGGGTGGGGAAGGTGGCTCCCATGTGTGACCTGCTTTGCACCACATGTTGCTGTGTTGATGTTTTGTTTAAACAAAGAACAGAAAGAACAAAAAGTGAATGAAAGTAACATGAAAGACCCCTGACCATTCTAGGTCCCTAGTCTTTGAGGTTTCTTCAGAATTCGTGTGTGTTGGATCCAAGACCTTGCAGACAGATGGATGGATAGCACCGCCTCATGGATAGGCCACAAAAGAATCTGTGAAATCTGTACTAGGCCAGTTTCCTTGAATTGGTTCATGGAAGATCTACTGATCTACAGGAAAGCCATGGTTTTTGCAGTGAAAACAAGGGTTTCCTGCACATGTTCCCTTCGACCAATTCGTTGACACTATAGAGGATATGTATGCGGGTATCCTCAAAATATGTTGGCTGATAATGGTTTTGGAACTAGTCCATAGACTAGCTGCAAGCTGTATGGGATCTAGAGGATCGACCAAGGGGGAGACACGCCACCGGGTGGCGGCCGCCCACTTTACCACAGCTCCGGGAGTCCGGCGGAACCGTAGGGTCTACCAGGACCACATTGGGCGGACGGCCGGCCGGGACGGTCGCCAAATCGGAGCGACCGTCGCTGACATCGCGGCTATGGCTTTCAAAGACCAACAACCTAAGCTTGTCAAAGCTGAAGATTTCTTCAACCAGAAGTCTCACAGAGCCGCACTTCGTTAAAAGTAGAGCACAAACCCGTCCAGTGGTCGTGTATCCCACGGAGAATACCCCAAGCGGATAAAAAGCGCAAGCGGTTTCGCACATCCCAGTGCTCCCGGGTTTGAAAAGGATTTCCGGAACAACACTTGGGGTGTCTGATCCACATCCAATTGATGGGTGGCATCGCAGGGTCCTCGCCTTTGCTTGGAGTGGGACTCGATCAAGGCCTGGGCCAGGTCGCCATTTCGATGGGGGGGGGAGATCAAGGGAGCAGGCGCTTGGCTCTGACGAACATATACGCATTCATCGGAGGCCGAGCTGTGTCTGACGCATTCACTGTAATTAGGCCAAGCTGTGTCCTGTGTCTATTTCGATAGGCCGGTGCTGGGTGCAGTTTGTCAGGGCACAGACGGCTGGTGGAGATGGGACTTGACGTCGGGTCGGTTTTGATGTGGTGTTGTACGTCTAGACCACCGTCGAGCACATGAAGGTTCAGTGAGTGTACCATGCGGCCGAAATACATGCTGGCTGCTGGCTGCTGGTACCAAAAAGAGGTATTCTAGGACGCTTGCCTACTACAACACGCTGAACGTTTGCCCATGCTGCAGGGACGATGACAACAGCCTAGGAACACAATTGTTGCTGCAGACTATTGCGACTATTGCTTGTCGTACAGTTTTGTTCATTGGATGCAAGTCTGCAAGTCACTTCAGCACTTGCAAGTCATGGAGTCGTGTAGCTGGCATGGTATGTATATTCAATCTAGAGTACTCCCAAAGATCAAAACTCCAAAAAGTACGTCCTCCAAATCTTCAAGACCTGCAGACCCTCACCCCCTTCCCCAAGGCCCAGCACCCCAACGCGCGTGGCGCCGCGGCTTGCCGCGCGCGTGGCACGTGGCGCGGGGCTCTCGGTACACTCCAACCTGGACCTGAACATCGAAGTGCCTGACACGGACAAGCCGGGGACGTGCCGAGAGAACGGGCGTGGGTTGAAACGGCTCACGGCTCAGGCCACCGGGTGTTTTGCCATAACAGTCTTCAAGGGTGCCATTCTCAGGGTCCATGTTAGTGTTTGGGAGTGTAGTTGAACTGTTTCAAGATCCTGAATAAGTGCAACATATGCACCTTCACCTGCGACTTTTCTCTCACACGGCTCACCCCCAGGACTTAGAAACCTCAGTCCCTTTGCTGGCTGCGGCTTCTTGGACTTCCGGCGTGTGAAGGCACACGAAGAAGCCTTTTATTGGACACCGGATCTCACAGCAGACCAGATCTCACTGTGTGAAACCAGTCTGCTCGTCGGAACAGGAGAGAGCTGAGACTCGGGTTTGGAAGGAGAGCTGATTTGAGAAGATTTGGGGATGGCTCACAGGTGACGACTACAGTTGTGTTACAATGATGCATTTTGTGTGTGTGATGTGTTTTGTAGTTTTTTGTTTGGAGGGCGACCTCCTGCTGAGCAGTGAAGTGTTTTGTCGCCATGAACATTTTGTGCTGGTTTGATCCTTTTCCGGGACGCCAAACGAAAGGACATATGCTTCGGAAAGAACATCGACTGGACAAAACTCTACCGGGGGCGTTGGGGGGTGGATGTTCATCCTGGTGATTGAGTGGTTTTGACCCAGATGCTTGCAAATTGTTTGGCATGGCTATCCAACTTGCTGTCATTTCTATGATACATTTTTGAGATATATTTTTGATAGTTGAAATGGTGACCTGCGGTTGATTAGGGTATAGACTCTAGACACTACAGACTTCTACGGTTGATTTTTCTCTGGCCAACCCGTACTGATTCTGTATCCAAAGGCTTTTCGCACTGGACCCATGAATTGCTGCAGAGGCTGCAGAGGTGATCGTTGCATCGTTCTGGTCCACTCCTTGCCGTGGTGTGTGTGTGTGCAGTTTCCCAGGAGATGACACACTGTTAATGGTTGTACTGGCAAGAACGACATCGCAGATGGATGAATTTGTTCAATGATTCTAAGACCTGCAAATTATTCCCTGATGATTCGTTCTCCCAAAACCGCCAGGGGGTGACCCAAATTTACCAAACTACTGTGACCAACATAGATACAAAGTGAATGGCCCCGAAAAGAACATGGCTTTGGAAATGGTTGCTATCTATTTGGGGATTCGACTGTGTTCTTTTCGTACGCCCAAAACATCCTTTCCCCGGATCTATGGAACTGCCCTCGTGGCTGCCCTACTGGCCCTGAGGCTTTGGCGCTGTTCTTTGGTCTGCGACAGCTCAAGGGGCTCATTGACGGACCAGAGGAGAGCACGTCGGCGTTGGGTGGAAGCGGAGGAGCAGGCAAGCAGAGAGTATTTCTCCGGATTTCCCATTGGAGGCCATCGCTAGTAGGTTGGAGGCCATCAGAGATTCCCCCTCGGGCCCTGAAACGGCCAAGTGCCCGGGGCCAGGAATTTCAGCTGCAGCCGGGCTCTTTGCAGGGCCGACGGGTGCTCATCACAGGTGCGTTTGCCCACGTGACTGAGTACAATAGGCGATCCAAGTCATACATTTGCATGGCAGTTAGTCATCCAAACAGGTGAACCTGTTTTCATGGCTTTGGTGAGTTGTAATTTGTGGTCATTAGAGCGGCTGTTTTGTCTAATTTGTGCAACTGAGAACAGGCTTTCCAGTGTACAAACCTTGCAACATGCTGGTCTTTCAATGTCCCAGAGCGCGAGGAACGCCCAACTGTTCTGCAGGTGGGTCCGCTGGCCTTGGCTTCGAGACGGCCATGCGCTTGTTGGAGGCGGGGGCACCCCTTTGTTGGGTGTTCGTTTCAGTGGAGGCGCACCTCCGTTTCCAGAAGGCCCGGACTTAAGACCTAGTGTAGTTCTACTCCTCATGGAAACTTGGAACTGGAATTCTGTCGGGTTTCATTGGCGGCCAAGATTCAGACGCATACCAAGTTACGGCCGTGATTTGTTGCAGTTCCCAGGTCCCAACATCCAATGCATCCCGAACTCAAAAACATTAACCTACTGTACTACAAAGCCATCCACCCGCACCGTTCACCGTCCTCTCATCTTTCGCATCCCACCGATCCACCGTTCCGCGAGCCGCTGCCCCGCAGGCGGGGGCAGAAGTCCTGATCACCGCGCGCGCTGCCGGGCAGGCGCGCGCGGAAGCGGCGCTGGACGCGGAGCTGGGCGAGGCGACGGAGCTCCGACGGCGCGTGCAGGTGCTGCCGCTGCTTGGTGAAGCGAGGTGGTCCAACGTGTCACGGAGCTCCTGATGTGGGTGGAACGGAACACCAACAAGAAAGGTTCGCTGGGAGTGAAGAAACACAACCAGAGGAAATGTAAGTTGGGAAAGTTGGAGTAGATCCCGTTCTTTTTCTTGGCCAAGTACTAAGAACAATTATGTGAGGATTGGCAGGCGGATCAATTGAAATCTGTGTATAGTTGCACGTCTTTGGTACATAGTGTTCTGCTGCTTCAGTATGATTTCTCTTTCCAGGGTTGACTGCCAGCTGTCAAGGCTTGATCTTTCCGAGCCCTCGAGCGTCCAGCACTGTGCCGCCTTGTGCCAGCAGCTCCTGTGCGGGATCGACCAGGGCGGTGGGAGTCTGGGGAGTTAGCTCATGGCCGTCTCAGCGCAGAAACCTTGAAATTGGGTGGGCTGTGGTGAAGCTTTGGAACCGAACCACTGGTGATATAATATATATATATATATATATCCCTAGGGCTCCAAGTACCTTCTAAGAAGGTGTTTGGGGTGGGTTTAGAGGGTCCAAATATGTTCAAATACCTTCTCAGGAGGTACTTGCGGGTCTAGGGATCCCTAGGGTATATTAACATTACTACTTACTACATTTTCTAGCTAAATGGTGATCCATTCAGATCCAGTGATATCGTGGGATGCCCTGGATGCACAAGGCTTCGATCCGAGCACGTTGGGGTTTTAGCGCAGGAACTGCCTGGATGTGGTGCTGTGCAACGCTGGAGTGATGGCCATTCCCCAGCGCAGCGCAAGCTCCTACGACGGCGCAGAGATGCAGCGCTTCAGCCGCAACTGGCGCAGACATGGTTTTTTTGTGGAGCAGACATGGGACAGACACACCTTGTTTGTAGTAAATCTGTGTAAATCTAGGATGCCTTCGTTTCAAAGCTCAACTGAACAGTATTCTAAGAAATTCTAGGTGGCAGTGGGTGGTTACCAGGTGGGAGACCCTTGCAAGCCTCTTCGTTTCCCCCCCTGCGAGTGGAGGAATCCGGCCTCAAAAGAAAGGATTTGCTCACCCGATGGCCAAAAGTGTGGCGGACACCCCTCAAATAGGGCCAAAACAGGCAGCTACTTTACCCTGGTTGTAGACGTCCACGCTTGAACCAACTGGACTTATATTTTTTGGGGGGAGGGCTCTATTTTTCATCTTCATCCGATCGTTCTTTTTACTTACCGGCGTTCACTCTGCCGGTTTGCTGCCACTCCGAAAGAATAACATGAATAACACACCCTCAGGCCATCTCCAGCCATCTCCAGGTTGGCGGTGAACCACTTGGGTCACTTCGCCCTCGTGGGACAGCTGCTGCCACTCCTCTCGCAGCAGCACGCGCGGGTGATTTGCGTCTCCAGCTTAGCACATCGCCTGGGCCATCCGCCCAGACTCCTGCAGGCGAGGAGCACAAGGAAGGAACGCCTGTTGGAGCGCTGTTGATGGATGTTTTTTGTTTTATATGTTTTGATGGTCATCCTATATGCAAAAAGGCATGTAAAATGATGTAAAGCTGAAATGTATTTTTGGTAGCGGTTGAAGGTGTTTTCATGTGTTTTTACTTCATGTTTTGACCTGCTGCATCTTCCATCTACGTGAGGATAACTAGATGAGAATTTCAAGAAAACAAGGGTCAATCACACCAAAGAACGTTTGTTGCTGGGGTTTGATTGATGAGCTACTGTTATTAGTAGATGCTGCTATATGCTGCTGGAACATCGCCTGGAATCTTGTTGTGAGGGATGTGGGATGGATATGGTGTGATGAAGACTCCACTTGTTAGTCCACTTGTTTGAAGAACTCAGGGCGGTTCGATGATGTTCTTTTTACCCCCCCTGAAGACCAACATGGAACCTGAAAACCACGGGCTGGTAGAGGAAAACCATCTTCCAGGGGCCCATTGTCATGGTCCGTTGGATGGTCGCGGCCCATGGTCACGGTCCATGCATGTCTGACTGTTGGTTCCAATCAAAGCGTTTAGTTTGACTCCGGCTGGATTCCGGCTGGTTTAGCGAGTTTTTGAACGTGAACAAACGTGAACTGAACAGAGCCCTTTAGGATATATAGTAGAGTCATCCTCAAGTATAGCTGGGGCGAATCCACACATGCGTGATGATGTTCCACAATTGCCCAATCTTGGCTAGCGCTCTCCCAGTCGCCCTCCCATACGTCTAATTGCCTTTCAGGAGCTGGAATTGGGTCCTTCAGACGCGTTGCGCTACAATGCCTGGGATGCCTATAGCGACTCCAAATTGGCCAATGTAATCTTCGCCAAGGACTCTTATCTACCCCATTATAGATCCCATTAGTGGATGTCTTTTGGTCTTTTCTTAGAAGAATCTGCTTAACACCCAGCGACCATAAGCACGAGGACTTCGAGATGGATTTCTTGGGTGTTCCGAGCTCCGAGTTCCGCGCTCCGAGTTCCGCGGCATCGTCTCCAGGAGCTGGACCGGCGCTTCCGTGCGCAGGGGTGGCCAGCCTCTGCCGTGGCCCTCCACCCAGGCGGGTCGGAAAACGCTTGCACCAGAGTCGAAAGAGGGCAGGGGGAATCAGTGTGGGTTCAAGCAAAATGCATGCTGGGTCTCCTTTTTAAGTTTGCTTGGCTTGGCTTGGCTTTGCTTTGCTTTGCTTACTTGCTTGTTTTGTTGGATCATCCCTTACTTGGGCTAAGCCAACAAATTGGATGCCCAACATTGGGCGACAGATCCTTCATGCCTGGTTTCCTCATGCTTGGTATAGATCCAGAAATTCTGGTTCTTGAACGGTCCGCGCGCGTTTCTTCAACGACTCCGTCGTGGACTCTCCCAAACCAGAGTCCGAGTCGGAGCTGGAGTCCTTCGCAAGGCTTGTGTGCCACGGATCTGGCGAAGTACGTCATTTCCGGCCGAGACGAACCCTTAGAGGCCGACCGGATCTGGACCGTGTGGGATCTGGGATGTTGGGTCTTTTTCGGCTTCACCCGGCAGGGTTTAGAGGATCGGTCCGGTTGGATTCGTTGGGCCACAGCATAGGGAAAGAGGAAGAACGACACACTGGACATCCTGGGAATACTATTCAGATCTATTTACACCCTGCGGGTTGTTCCGCCGGCCTTTTCAGCCAATGGTCCCAAGATGCGGATTACCTTTTGCGTCAAGAGGAAAGACTGCAACAGAGCAGAAGAAGTAACAGCATCATCCAGAACACAGCTGGAGCAACAGAGGAGCCTACATGAAATGACGTGCATTATGATACAATAAGAGAACAGGGAGATGAAATTGGGGGATGCAAAGTATAGCCTGCCAAGCAAGAAGACAAATTTTCATGACATGTGACACAATGAGCGAAGTAGACCGTGCGAAGCAGCAAACGTACATAGCATTCCGTCAGACATGATACAAGAGAGCAATGAGGACATGTGTGGCATGGGGATTTCCAAGCAGTCTGAGTCTGCAAAAAACGATAGATACGTGAGTGCAGGTGCAAAACCTAAGAAAAACGCATGCAAAGCAGAAGCGCAATGCATGGACAACGACAAGAGAAGAAGGACGATAAGAAGGAAGCGCACACAACCTTTCACTTTAGCTATGATATATGTGAGCTACATACATTCGGGATGTTCCTGGGGGGGGGGGGTCAAGTTAGACGAGGCAAAAACTTGCTCCAGAGACACTTTTCTTATTACATATAGATTCGACATAACTTAAGCATACAAGCCACATTGGTAAAACACGCCGGCGCCCAAGGGCCGGCGGATTCAGTACATGCAGCATCCATTGTGAAGGTCGAGCTATCCAACATGGAAGTGGAAATGCCTGTGTGTAGAGGACGGCTCGGTTTGAAGGGGGCCAGGCTGTCCACTTCAGATCTGTCCACAGGACCGCAACTCTTTGTTAAAGTGCAGCACCGGACCCACGGCTCGAGACCAAGGAACTCCATGTTTGGTTGTTTGGGCCACTGCTGGTCGCACGTGGTCGCTGCCGAAACTACTTTGAATCGTCCATCCTTGAGGTCACGTATGCCTCCTATGCTGCGCCTGTACAAGCTCTCCTGCAGGCGCTCGAGTCGTGGACGTCTCATCGGGTGAAACCGGGATCGGACACCGATCTGACTTGGAACATTGGCAGAAACAAACCAGGCGAGACGTGGCGAGCAGAACGAGATGGATGGACGACATATTCACACATATTCATGTCTATGAAGAGTATTCAAATTTAGAATAGCCTAGTCACATTTCCGGTGGGTACTTGCAGGATTAGGTGAGTTGGACAGCTTAGAAGGGTTTTCTGTGATTTTTGTACCCCCTCTATGAGTGGAGGTGATCGAAGTTGACCAATAGGTTCGGCGATGGAATTAACCGTTTGTTTTCCACGAGCGCACTGAGGACTGAGGACAGTTGAATTATCTCGAGTCACTCCCAGGTCCGTCCAGAGCAGAGCTCCGGACCTTGGAGTTCGGCGACATGGAGTGAAACGCATGAGAATCAGACCCAGACTTCTTCGGAGATGTTGTTGAAACAAGTTGAAACTATGTATATAATGGTTTTGCTTAGGGTGATTGTTGTTTTCCCTATGGGTGAATCTATGTGAGTCTCCGTTTGGGAACATGCGTTTGGTCAGTTCCTGAAAAAATAGAAGGCAAATCCAAGATAGAACCATGTCCCAAGATGTCCCAAGTCTCGCCCACCATCCCATCAAATCCGCTTGCGCGGGCGATGACTCCGAACATTCGGCCCGTCGCCAGGCCGCCCGAGGCTTGCTACGACCCTTGGAACGGGGTGCCAACAGCCACTGGGCGTTGGAGAAAGGAACTGGAGCACTGCTTAGGTTTCGGGAAGCGCTATGAAGGTTACATATGAAGTGCTACTTGTATGAAGGTGATGAGTCCTGGAGTCCTAGAGAATCCGAATCCTAAAACTAACATGAAGGTGTTAAGAAACGTCCTTCCCTGACTCGAAATCGAGGCTACGGTGTTTGATTCTTCAATGTGTCTAGGGTTTCTTGCAGGTTTGGGGGAATGATTTGTCCATCGCTTCCATCATCTCTCCCTCCAGGTCAGCAGGTCCCGTCGTCACTCAAAAAAGAAACACCTCCCAAAGCATCGAACGAGTGAAAGTGTGTGAATATTGGAAGCCCCCTTTCGATTGATATCATCAATCAGACATCCAGAATGATCACTGAATCCAACACTTCGGGCGGCGGCTACGAAGACGGTCGGTGTCTTTTCCGCAGCCAACGGAGACGTCCTGGGCCAACGCCGCCGTCTCCTAGGCCACGTGTTCCTGGCCGCCGGCGCAGATGGTGGGCTCGAGCGGTCTGGAGGTGAATACTTCGAGGAGTCCGGGGGAGTTTGAAGGAACGAAGACCGGACATTCTGTGGGGTTTGTGGGGGAAGTGACCAGTCTTTTGGATGAAGGATGTGAAGGGGATGTGAAGGGGATGTGAAGGGGGAAAGCAGGTTTTTGACTTCTGAGTGGGGGAGGCCAAGAGACCAGCGCAAGAAGTCTACGAGTCTACTGCGTATGGCTTGTCCCGGTCCCCATAGAAGCTTTGTTTGGGGAGCTTACGTGGGAAAGTAACATGAGTCGAAGCAGGTGCTGAAGGTTGCTTCAGACTGTCTTCAGAAATATGTCAAAATATGTCGATAGATACGTACATGTATGGTACTGGTATACAGTATACAGACCACTTGTGATTACATGATTACTTTGTGATACTGTGTGTATTTCAGATGGGTTTTTGCCTGTGTCATGATTCCTTTGCACCATGAATTTATCTGATGAACTCCCAATCCGCTCGCGCCATCCATCCGTGTCCCTTCACGCCACCGATCGCCTCGCAGCATCGCAGCGGTACCGCTGCACCGATGCTGCAGGACATGAAGCCAGCCGAGACACACGCCGAGGCGCTCTCTCTCCGCAGAGAGCGTGGGAAAGGTGTCGAAAAAGAGGGCTTCTTCAAAGCAACGAGCACGAGTCAGTTGAAAGTCGATTATATGCAATTCAAAACGTTGAATTACATTCTGTACCTCAAAGTGCATGGAAGGGTCAGACCATGTCGAACCATGTCGAACTCCCCCATAGTCAAACCATGTCGAACTCCCCCAAAGCTCACACCATTGTTTGTGGGCGAGGGAGGTGAGCCAGCGAAGCAGCGCTGCGTTCCATGAAGCAGACAGATGCGGCGTTCGCCTGGGTCAAGAGCCTTGATCATCCTTGATCCATTGTGTGAGCCTTGATTTAGGGCTTTGGGCCACACCAAAACATGTCGTTCTTGCCTTATTTGGTTCACCCACCACCTAAAGCGGGTGTTGTCCGCTTTCGAGAAACTCGGGAAGATCCCTGGCACTCGGCGTTCCCTTCGGAGATGTGGTTCCGTCCTCTCCGTCCTCTCCGTTCGGCAAATCTCTTCAACTGCTTTAAAAGGGGTGAAGAACATGAACATGCGGGGCGCATTGTAGTGAGGAGCCCCCGTAGACAACGTGTAGAAATCAATGGTTTCTGTAGAACTTTCTTGCCAAAGAGTTGAGAAAGAATGGAAAGCTGACTTGTGCTTAGCAAGGAATGAGGCTGAATCTAAAGTTAAAGGAGTCTCCGGCTCATTCATGCTCATTCCCTCATTCTGTTGCATCCACCGGAAGTCCTCAGCATCTTGACCTTTCCGGTCCAACCCACCGTCGTTCACGGCCGTACGACATGGCCTTCTCCTCGCGTGAGGCCGCGGATCCCCTGGTGGGCGATCGCCTATGGGAGGCGAGCCGGTGGGGGTATGGTTTGGTCGCCCATGGCGTGGTTGAAATAGGACTGAAGATACAAGGAAGGGGGGTGAAGGACTGAAGAAACCCCATGTGGTCCGTGCGTTTTATGTCTTTTTGGTTTTAGTCTCCCTTCATCAAGGTTTGACGAGATTTGTGGAAACACGCCGACGTTCATCCTATTCTTTTTGGAGCAGCATGAGGTACATGGACTTGATCTGATTCTAGATTGTCCCATCGAAACACCATGATTGTCCCATCCGACCCTCAAAACACCTTCAGCAACCTGATCACTCCAGTTGTTCTGATCGAAATAGCCAATGCCCCGACCTGCGTCGTTTGAAAGGAGGAGTGACGTAGCCAATCGATTCTTTTCAATGAGTGGCACCACGCAGCACAGAGTCTGTGCATGTTCCAAGATCGTGACAAGCGCCTGGTGGGGATTGCCAGAGCAGAAAACTCTTGGCACGGAAGACGTCGGTTATTTTTGGGCCGATCTGGCCCGGACCATCCCGCTCTCTTGCAAATGTCCTTTGACCAGTTGGTTTGGATAGGTGCTTGTGCCAATGTTTGAACCGTAGCCATGAATCGGCTGAAACCATCTCGCCATGCAGATCCCGTAAACAAAAGAACGCCAGCGGTGTTTGGGAATTCTCATTTCGAGGCACATATATTATGTGCAGTATATGTGCATGATATATGTTCCAACGTATCAGTGAACAAAGACACAGAGCAAAAGATTGAACATAAACAGCCAACCCGTTTCAGACTGGCCAAACCGAATCAAAAGGTAGAGAAAAACTGCCTCCTCCTTGCGTTTTGCCACCGGATCTGGGTGCAGACACGGATTCTGCGGATTCTGCGCGTCCATGCGGCGATCCTGGGGAGCGCTACAGTTGAAGCTACCAAAGAAGCTGAAACATAAGCATGCTTGGGTGGCCCGGCATGACCTGCTCAGCAGTTGGGGTCTTTTTATGTAACTAATTTCGTTTTGAAATGCCCATCCTTTCCTTTAGAGGGAGCAGCGTTTGGTGTGGTGCGGAGTGTTTCTTCCCTGTTCCAGATGGGTTGTTTTGTTCAATGAAAGTGAGGCGACCACAGACCCCTGGTCATTTAGACATATTTAGACTAAAGCGATTGGAAGGGAGATGTGTTCTTTGGTTGAGCTGCTTGTTGGCCAGGTACTCTTCCCAGAAACCGTGTTCAGGTCTGTTCGGTACTACTTGTCAGCTTCTTTTGAGACTTTGACAGTGACTGCACGGGTCCGAGGCGGCTGCATCACGAGATCTATAAAACGAATAGACCATATTCTGGAATATCATGTTATATACCGTACCATCGTCCCAGTGGTGTCAGACGGGATGTTTGTTTGACAACATGGAGAGATGGTACGGTGGCGCACCCAGGATGTGCCTGGCACCTGGTTCCAAGGACCGACCCGAGAACGAACCCGAAGCTCCCCGGATCGGCCGAAAGGTTTTAGACGAGGAGGGTATAGGGATGTTCAGACTTCCAAGGTCCGGTGATCACCGAGAACTGAAAACAAACTGTTAGGATCCTCCCAAGAAGACACACACACACCTACTACACACACCTGCTACACACCTGTTCTTTTGGATGGAAGTGGGATGATGCATGGGGGTGGTGGATCAAGGGATTCTGGAGAAAGTGATCGTCAAGTCAACTAGATAGAATATGGGGGCAAAAGAAACATAACAATTTGTAACATATGTGACAGGGCCATTTGTTGTCATTTCTTTGGGGTAACCGGGTAACAAAACCCACACTACTTCTCGTTTCAGTCGTTTCATTCCGTTCCGTTCCATCAACCCCAAATGATGACTACAGTCTGTTCTGGGTTCAGGAGGTCGGCAGGGGAAGCAATACTTCTTGGGCGACTTGGTGGAATGCCAGCGCGAGGGCATCTGGCGCCGCTGCCGCGTCTCGCGCGTCCCTTCAGACGCACGGCCCCACGACGGATCCTTTCGCGTGAAGTTTGACACAGATGCGGTGGAAATGAAGTGCTGGTACAAGGCAGCTGGGCCATTCTTCGCAAAACAGGCCAACAATGCCAAACAAGACGTGTCAAACACCAGGACATTTAAGTCTAAGACGGTCTAAGTACTTGTGCCAAACTGTGTTTGGTTTACTTCCAGTGCGGAAAGGAAGTGGACCCGCATCCCTCCAAACAGCCAAACATGGATGTCATCGATCGAACAATGAACGGTCACACAGGGGCACTGTTGCTGGAAGCCTACTCTCACCCTTGATCCCCAAGTGGGCAACACTCATGTCTTAGTGGGATGAAAGATCTTGCGAGTCCCGAATCCACAACCAGAAGTCACAAGTCCATGGCCCATGATGCAGCGAGTGGGCACAGGATATGCACCATTTCTCGGGGGACAAAGATGAAGGATGACCCTTGCCGGAAAGACCCACACACCCCGCTTGATTTTCTCCCAAACCTTTTCACGTGTTCAACGCTACTCAACAAGACAGTACAAAAGGTCCAGTTTGATGCAACAGTCGTAGCCGGTGGCATAAATACCAGAGCTTAAATTCAATGGCCAGCACGAAAACACCCATCACACGTTTCAACACGCCTCAATACTTTTTGATGCACAACATCATCCAGACTGTTCGAAGCAAGTCCAAAGACACTCTGCCTGCTGCTCAAACCCCCCTGCGCCCAAAAAGGACTTGCGGACCTGTCGATCTCCTGAGCGTGTGCCCTGGCCAGCTTGGTTGAAAGACTGGCAACCAACAGAGGCGCCACCAGATGAGAACTGCTGGAAGCACCTTGAAGGCCACCTTGGCTCCTGGAAATCGTTCTTTTTGACAAGGATAATTCTTGCTACCCCGGCTATGTCGTAGCAGGGTTTAGTGCCAACCACAATGCACCAGACACCTGACAGGGCATGTATATTTAGTACGCTGGATTCCTCACATTTGCACATGGTTTCGGTCTTCTGAACATCCTGAACCGAAACCATGTGGAATTGTTTTGGGTCACTTCCATCCCGGCAACGGCCCACTGGCATGCACACCGGCATGCGGCACCAGGCTCCAAGGACGAGACCTCCGCCTGGTGGCGCCAGGGGCCTCCGGTGGACGCGGTGGAGATCGACGTCCAGGAGCATTGGGCCGAGCGGCGCTTGTGGGCCATCTGGCGCCGAAGGGAGCGGCAGAAGCGATGTGAGCGAAGGCAGGTGCAGGAGGAATTTGTGCCTTGGCCAGGGGCTTTGGTCGGGGGTTGGTGGCGGTGAGTGGCAAGGTTTGGGACAATGTTTAGACACGCCCTTCGTTTGGGCAAAAAGCTGCGGAGGAAAAACGACTGGTTGTGATTGCTGTGATGTGGGGGCCAGAGCATCCATACGGACGCTCAAAAAAAAAAGCAACCCCCCCCTCAAACATAGGCGATTTACTATAGAGTGTTTTTGTTGGATCATGCCCCCCCACACCTTGGATTGAAAGCAAGTGTGAGACGTGTTGGTCGTCAAAGATCAAAGACCGGCAGTTCTGTCGTTCCAAATCCGACCGACCAAGACCGGTGATGTCCTCCCAGGACCGCTTGTGTCGTGAACGAGACGAGAGGCTCGAGCGACTTGCGTCCCATCCGGGAGAAGAGGCCGAAGTGGAGGAAGAGGTGGACGAGGAAGAAGAAGACCAACCAGTGGACCAGCTTCCTCCACAGCATGCATAGTGAACATCTATGCAGTGGGAGCATGTGGTGCGAGGATGCTGTTGGAGCACACTTGCATGAATCCTTAGGTAATCTGCAGCTCTATCAGCAAAGCCCAATGCAAAAGGAAGAAAGAGATGCTGTGGGAGGTCCAAAGAGCCACATCAGGTGCCTTTTTGGAGCCTTGGCAGTCTCGGCAGTCTTGGCAATGATCAGTATATGCGGAAAGAGGTCATGTCATCTATATAATATATATATTTGGATTTTGTGTGCCTGAGCCTCGGCACAAGAATTTTGGATTTGGAAGGTGTTCTTTGCCTTGTGGGCTGGTCATCAGCTTGGTGTTGGAGTACAGGCGTAAGGGGCTGAACAAAAAGGGCCACAGGTGGGCCTAACTTGGCCATTGCATATAGATTTGGAGTCAGTCTTCTCTGAATTGCGATGGTCAGGGGCTTGGACGGCCCCAATGTGCTTGGGAAGCCACGGAAAAATCAAAATCCAATTGCTGGACCTCAAAATAGTTCTTCTTGACCGGTCGGGCAACGATCCTCCGTCATTGACCTGCACTACAACTGTGTAGTGCACCATGGTCGGCCACAGAGAGTAATGGAGACACAGGCGCCTCGTTGGACGGAGGCAGAGGTTACCAGGTGGTGGAGAAACATCAAACATCAAGTTGGCTTCTGGAGAACGTGTATTTTTTCACATATTTTGCTCACAAAATCTCGCAAATACTTTTCAGACAAAGAATGCTTTCTCATTGGATATGCCACACTGGTGGGTGCGGACTCCTGGTGGACTGCGAAGCACGACCAGATGCTTAACACCAGGGAGTTTCTTGCGCTACGAGCACATGATTGGTGGATATTGGTGGGTTTCTTGCCCCCGCATCAAGACAGGGCATTGAGTTTTGCCCCAGAGAACAGGCAAACCTCCAAGGATCACCCATGTCATCCTGCAATAAGATCGTCGATGTGACAGAAGCTGACGTGGACGCAGAACACGGGCAGAAGCTGGCAGAGCCTCAAGGAATTGATGAAAGCTGGAGATCGATTTGGTGCAGGACATCAATGACCTAATAGTAGTAACAAGAAGCTAGTAGTAACAAGTGCCACGCTAGTAGTAACAATGTTCGCTATTAGAAACAAGTGCATTTCGGAACATCCGTTTGGGGCCATGTTCCACTTCCATTGTTCCAGGGAGAGTGGGGCTCATGGCCTTACTCCTAAAGTTACTACTGGAGCAAGGACGCCGCTATGAACGGCGCTCCTGGCATCGCTACGAACGGAGCATTCTTACTACGAACGCCACATGCTTAAGCTTGGACACGTTGCCCTTGCCAGCAGTACCAAAGGACCACACGCGTGCGAACCCGCGACGTTCGCGATCACGTCGAACCGCGAAGCGGTCGGGGTATGTACTCGTACGTAGTTGCTGCTGGGACGGTCGTGGCACGCGCTCAGGACAAAACTGAGCGCTGTTTTGGCAGTGAGGAGACATGAGAGGGGTGTGAAACCAGCTTTCCCAGCTTTGGAGATGGGAATGCAAAAGGTGCTCCAATCATTTGGGCCATTTGGGCTTGGAAACCAATGTGCGTTGACCGACAGTGTTGAATCCTGAACTGTGCATTCCAATTCTTAGGCAGCGCCCACCGAGCATATCTAGTGGATCATGAATAGCTCAGCTAACTGTTTCCTCAATGGCTTCGAAGGTTGCACCTGGTTCTGTTTCTTCGATTTCCATAAAATCCTCAGTTTCCAATGGGGGAGGGCCCCACCCTTGGTCTTGGGGGAGGGCCCAACACCAGCGCCGCCTGCGCGTGAGGCCTCCGAGCGCCTCACGGGCGTGCACTACGACTTGGGCCCGATCCGAAAAAGGGACCGTGGCTCCAGGAGTTGAACGATACGTCCCCGTGGAGCGTCTCAAAGAAGAAGTTAGTTGAGCCTTGAAGTTTGAAACTCGTGCAGCCATCATGCACTCGCATGAGTTGAACTATACCCCATGGACCGTACCATGTTACCATATGGAGCTCAAAAAGGATGTCAGAACTTCCGTGGCGTCAGGCACCTGTTTCTTCGCGGTATTACACCACTCACTACAGTTCAGACCACGAGACATGCGGTTCATGCCGTTCAGCGCCGTTCTCGTTGGGTTCGGTGGATCATAAAGCAGAAGCCTGGAGTGCGAATGCAGTGGACCCCTGAAAGCATATGAAAGCATCAATGTGTTCTGCTAAAGCCAGTTGACTCAGTCCAAGGGAGTCATGGATCAACACGCCCATTGTCATGCGAACTCTCCATGATTGCTGTGAATTGGCGACTGATCCAGCAAGAGTGAAAAGTAAACTGTAAACATAATATCTTAAAGGTCGATGCAATGGCGCACCCAACAAAACCGTGCGGCCGCCAGGTGCATATGGTCATTGGGCCAGTGGAAGTGGAAGCGGCACAGAAGGTGGCAGAGCAAGTTTGACCTTCCTGGAGGGCCTGTATTTAGTGGTCCGCAAATAAATAGAAACAGTTTCCGATACATTTTTTGTTGTGGGGATCTACTTTTCTAATCTTTTCTATTCAGGTGTCCAGTGTGATTCCTTGCTTCGAGGACAAAATACACCAAGAAGTGACGGGTGTGAGCACGAACTGTGCTGCATGTGTAGCTATGTGCATGTTGCGTTGGTGGTCGGTTTGGCAAAGAGCCAAAGAAAACCTAAGCAGGAGATAGATAGTCCACATATAAGAATCGTTTGGTTAGATTTGGGTGCGGAGGTGCGGCGGGGTTTGTTGTGATACCAGTGGTTTTCCTTTGGAGGAGGGAATCTCTACACTCTACATTATACTTGGATATACTTGGTATCAGAAAAATATCAATTCTTTATTAATTCTCTATGAATCAAAAAGGTGTCTAATTATATATAATGTTTCTTGTGTTTTTGTATGATGTTGTGAACAACTCCCCGGCGGTACTTTGGGAGATACTGGGAGGTGGAGAGACTGCAGATCCGGTCTTTCCGTTTTGTACGAAGAAAAAACACAGTTTCTAGAGTGATGTTACGATTGAAATGGACGGTCCAAGTCCTAGGACAAGCGTCTTTTCCCACCCAAGAAAGGCTGGCGAGATGGGGTGTTTGATCTATTCAATCTATGTGCAATGTCCGGAACAGCTTCTTTTGACTATCGCACTGATTGGTGGTTTGGTCTAGTCTCCGCACTGACCATCAGTGGATTAGTGGATTTGAGGGGTGGCGCTGGAGTGGGACAGTTGATTGAAGGAGCAGGCATTTTGAGGTGAGCGGAAAGCTGCTTTGTAGGGGAAACTGCTTAGATCTTTCTGGTTTGCCAGTAGTCCATCTTGCGGTCCATGTGGGTTTATTCAAAGTTTATTATTGTCTTATTTACTGAACTGTGGTGTAGCCACTCAGTGGGAGCCTAAACTATAGAGCTAGGAGGCTTTGGAGGTTGGGTAGTGAGTCGCCACTGGCCACGTCCCAGCAACCATGTTTTTGGCAACTCTTCAGTGGGGTCACCTCTTGCTGCGATTTGCACGCAGCTAGGGCCTAGGGTGTCGAGGCCGAGATGAAAGGCTTCAGCTCAATGTGCAGGATGGATGTCCAACAACCACAAAACTCTTGTGACGGGCAAGACTAGAAATTGGGAATCCTTAGAATGCTTGAACATGTCCCTTGAACGGGATGACCCGCAGATCGCCGGTGAGAGCCAGAGCCTGCGGGGCGAAGATTGGCCGAACTGCACAGGCTTAAGGTCCAGCAACAGACGAGCCCAGGGAGGTGCTCTTCCACAACCAAGAGTTCATGAGGCAAAATACCATCAAGACAATCAAGAATCAAGATCCAATTCCAGTCTGAGCTGGAATTTCAGAGAAAGATCATCGGGAATGGTTTGTGACTGCGTCACATGCCTCCTTTGAGCTTGAAGAAATATATATAGATGCATGTCATGATTTCAGACAGAGTAGTGGATGAGGGCAAGGAAATGATACTCAGGGGATTGGCCATAACATGCCAAAAGCATCCAAAAGCTCTAGCACGGTCGCACAACGAAAACATATGCAAGACAGAAGCCGCATAGAGCAAGCATCCTCCAGCCACCTGAGCCGCGAGCACGCAAGGAGGCGCGGGGAAGGGCCATTCACGTGCACGGTGATTCACCCTGCTTGGTCAGTTGTTGAATATTGAAAGAATTTGTCCCTGGATCAGCCTACCTTAACTTACCTTTCAGGGTCATCAAAAGGAGATTCCGATTGTCAGAAAAGGTCCCTCTTAAAGAAGGTACAGTTGAAGACAGACATGTGCAACAAAAATAATGAGAGTTGGAGGATGTCCCACTCGACGCGGTGTTTTGCCAACCGCTACCAGCCCCCTTTGGCGGGGTAGAGAGGGCTTGTTCTGAAGGGGCTTTCATGAGAAGAATTCTTGCATATGCGACTCCACAGCTCTGGAGTTCCAGCGACTCCAAAGCTATACTGTATACCTCTAGGATTTTGTTGAAACACGCATGTCCCATACCTGTCATGAATAAAAACAGAGGCAGCAGGGTTGGCTTCCCCAAGTAAACAGATATATTAATTGGGAAGATTCTTTTGGAAAACCATGATCATCTCGCTTGCTTCAATAGCATCACTTGCTTCGCTTGGCTTGCTGCTAGGCCGAACAAGTCGTTCTTCCTTCGGCCCATGTTCAGCACAGCTGACCGCTTTGAGAAGGAGGCCACCAAGGATTCTCCAGGGCCCGGGCAATACGATTTACCTTCGACGCTGGAGGGCGACTCGGCAGAGTTAGATTGTCTCTTTTTCATGACTGGAGGCCATCGCTACTAGGGCGGAGGCCATCGCTACTAGGGTGGAGGCCATCGCTACTAGGGTGGAGG